TGTGCTGAGAAGTCTGCTCTGATTCTGGTGGACTTCCTTTACAGGCGATTTGTTTCTTTAATAGCTTTAGTATTCTGTTTTTGTGTTGAATTTCTGGAATCATGAGTATTAGATAGCTTGGTATAATTTTTTTATATGGGAGTTCTGTATGTCTCCCTTATGTGCGAGTCAATTTCTTTTTCCACACTTGAGAAGTTTGCTACATTGTTTTTTTTTTTTTTTTTTTTTTTTTTTTTTTTTTTTTTTTTTTTTTTTTTGTGGATCCGGGGATTGAACTCAAACCCTTCTGCTTGCCAGGGAAGTGCTTATTCCACTGAGCCATCTCCCTGGCCCCTACCATTACTTCTGTGAACAGGTTTTTTTGTTTTGCTGTACATTATTTGCACTACCTCCTGCTTTTTCATCGACTCCGATCAATTCTGTGCTATTCTTCTTGGCATCATCTGGCAGCTGTTGGGTAGGTTCGTCATGGTCCCCTGCCACTTTCAAGCACTACTTCTGTGATCACTCACCACAGCCCTGTCCTCCAGATCTGATAGCCTCCGTATATTGCCTCCCTCTGCTGCACGCCTTCAGTGCAATCTCCAACTTTCTGGGCATCTGTTTGAATCTGTTTCCTGCACCCCATCTCTTTTCCAAGTGGAGTGTTCGTAATTCCTTCCTTTTCCTAAGCGCCTCTATTTTTCAGTCTGTGCCTGCTCTACAGTCCCCACGCACGTCTTTCATTATGATCACCGTCTCTGCAGGTATCTGGATTATGTCCAATCGTACTGTTTCCCTGGAGCTCATTCACCTGCTTTGATATTTCCGCTGTTGCCCATTCACAGAGTCCAGGTGGGTAGCTTTCGAATTCTCCTACCTCACAGTCCCCCGGGTTTGCCTTTGGAGAGCTGGAAGTCTGGGATTGCACCTTGCTTTCATGTCTTATTTTCCTTCTTTTTAAAAAATTTTATTTCCTGGGTTGATGCGTGCGAATAGTTTATGGCAGGTAGCTTTATTGCTAGTATTCAGAGCCCATCAGAAATGACTATTTCTCAGAGGTGTCTTCCAGGTGTAGCTGTGTGGAGGACCGCCTGAGCAGCCCTCCTTGAAAGAAGAGCGACTGTCTCCATTTTGGCTGAGGCTGACCCTATTTCCTTGTATTGAAACGTGCAGAGCTGACGAGGACTTCTCTTTATCCTTTTAGTTGGCCTTAAGCAATGTGTATTGGTCTAGCTGAGGGGCTGGTGATAGTCTTTGAAGGTGGCAGGCGTGTTTCCCTGGTAACCTACACCTGATGCTCTCTAATGTGAGCCGGGTGGAGACAGGATGAAGAGCCAGTGCTCCACACCGCCAGCTGGGATCGAGCCTCTAGACAGAGGCTATGACTTCCTGGGGCTTGAAAGATTATATCAGAGCCAACGCACCAGACCCCCAAAACATTAGATACTATCTCAATAGCATAATTCACATTACTTTCTCTGCATGCCCTCTCTGCATATGGCGGAGGTAAATGCAGGCCACCCACCTAGCCCAACTCACAGTACTCACCTACTTCCCACAGTTCTCAGCCATTCCTCCTCAAGCCCCTCCTCCTCCACTGAATACAACCCAGGTGTGGTCCTGGGTCAGCCTCTTCCTTCTGGAAAGCCATCTTTGTGGCTGGACTTAGGGCCCCTTGACTCCCCAATAATTATAAATATGTTTTAGTGCCTTTACTTTCACCATGGGTTGCACTGGATTAACTTGGTGGGATTCCAATAACACATCTGTGGGATCAATATCATACAAATATTGACTTCTTGGACCGAGACAAGAACCTGGAGGGGACTCCTACACAGCTGGCTTTTGGGTTTTGAGTCTGCTGCAAGATCTACATCTTCCATTTGTTGGGGATGAGAAGCTGCTGCCCATTTGGCCCAGCCCCTGGTTCTTTGGCCCTGGCCTATGGCATTGGTTATGACTGTTAGGCAATCTCAGTCTTGGTATATGAAGAACAATTAATTAAAATAAAAATACCACCTTGACTAAAGTAGTGCAATCAATCATAACAGCATCAAACACAGCCTCAAAAATTGCAAATTGTGGTAACTATTAATCTGTCACCTTTAACCATATGAACACAAGTTATAGTTATATAGTAAGAGGGGCCAGGGAGATGGCTCAGTAGAATAAGCGCTTGCCTGGCAAGAGCAAGGATTTGAGTTCAATCCCTGGTTCTGCCAAAAAAAAAAAAAAAAAAGTTATATAGTAAGATCTAAAAACAGACCAGGAAATTGTACACAGTAAATGTCCCTATGATTTTACCCTAGGGGAGAAATTTTTTAAGGGCTAGAGGGAAAAACAGAACTAGAAGAAGCGGAAGAGATTAGAAGCAAGGCTGGAAGACCAAGGAGTAAACCCAGCAAGGCAGCCACAGCTTTACAGTGGGGTGCTGGGTAACCCCAGTGAGCCTGCACCTTTAGTTCTACTGCAGTTCAGGATGGTTTCTGGCTGTGAGGCTGGAACCCGATTTGTCCAGCCCACAACTCTCCACAGGCTTGAACTCAAACCCTCGACCTCCTGCCGATCTATACTCAGTTCCACCTCACCCTGAGACCGAAGCCTCTAGATGGAGCCGGCCCACAGCTGCCCTGAGTGCCAAGCTCTTGTGGCCCCTCTGCAAAATGGCTACCCGCCATTGCCCTCTCCTGGGCAACGTCTGAACCCGAGTAACTCTCAGCCTCTGCAGTCTGCTGCCTCCACTTCTCCATCCCTTGTGGCATCTCTCCGAGGAGACCTCAGGGGTTACCAGTAGTCACCACGTGTCTGCAGGCTCCAGGTCACCCTCCCACATAGTGAGTCCGGGCTCGGGGGAAAGTGCTGCCCACCTCCTCCTTGTGCACTGAAGTCACTCTGCGCTCTCCCCGTGGGCTTCAGCCCTCACACCCAGTCCTGAGCCACCCTCCAGCCACTTCACACGGCACGGGGAACCTTCTAGAAGCAGGGGCCCAGCCCTCATCTCTGAACTATCCCAACCTCTGTTCCTTGATAAGCAGCTGAACTTTGGTTTCTTGTGCTTTTTGGTTTTTTTCTTTGCTGGCTGACTCACCACACCCTGGGGGCAGGGCTGGCACAACTTTCACCAGGGGTCAAACCACAGTCCCTGCACTTGCCTAAGCAGGCGCTTTAGACCACTGAGCTATCTCGCCAGCCTGGGTTCTTGTTTCTATTTCTGCTCTGCAGCTCCCTGGGAAACAGGGCATTAGACGGTCCTGGTCACCATATCATGCCCCAGAATATGAATCTGAGAGCACAGCAGAGGGCAAGCAGAGGCAACCCAGACAGGTCGACACTCACCGTGACCACAAGCTGGGCTATGCTCAGAGCCAAGTACAGCCCACAAGGCTAAGAGCTGCACTGCAGCCACACGGGCCCCTGACAGGGAGGTGTGCAGATCTCCCAAAGGGCACAGAGGCAAGACCTGGCCAGACCTGAGGTGCCTGACACTCGCCCCGCTACCTCCCAGAGAGCAGGCAAGCTGTGAGGCCAGGCCAGGGGGAGCATGCAGCCTTTTCGGGTCCAACTGCCAGGCTGGCTTTGGAAAAGGGCAGTACCATAACCCTGAGACCCCTCACCGAGCACAGAGGTGGTCTCCACAGCCCCAACAGGTCAACCCTGGTGTCTAGGCCCCACGGTCTAGCCATAGCTAAACTGAGAGCAGTCTCTGCTCTGGAGAACTGCCCTGCTGAGCCCTTCCCCAGGGTCCACCCAAAATGAAAGGCAGATGACCTGCTTGCTGCTTGACCCCAGGGGGCTTCACATAGAACCTGCATGGAGCCAGGGTCCTGAGAACCAGTGAGCTGACAGGCCAACGAGCCAAGATGCTGGAGCACACCAGAGACCTGAGTAGACCTCATGGGCCTGTGAGAGGGGGCAGGGGCAGGAGCAGAGCTACCCCAGCTGCATCACCAGGACCCCCGACTCAGTGCTCTGCCTCCCCAGGGACGCCCTCTGGGACAGCCTGGCTGGGTGCAGGGCGCTTGTGACCTTCTCACACCGAGGGAGACCTCTCTGCAGTTGTGTGCAGAAACTAAAGGCACTTGTCACTGGATGCCCACCCTGGGCCAGTGTCCAGCTCGTAGCAGGGCTTCCAGGACACTGCCTGCGTGCACTCCCAATCTGTTCACCAGAGGCGCTCTCTTCAGGCCCCACCTGCCTGTAACGCTTGGGACAGAGAAGGGGAAAGACGTCCGTCACCTGTTTGGGACTGAACTTCCTTGGTCTGGGTTGGCAGCCCCTGTCCTTCCAGAGTGCTCAGTGACCCTAACTCCCAGATGGGGGGAGCCATGAGCCTCAGGGCAGGCTCACAGGAGCCCTCATTCCTGGCATTCCTCTTGGGCAACAGGTAGCACTGCTGCCCATTTTATAATCAGGAAAATGAAGCTTTGAGAGGCAACCTGTCACCCAGTGACACAGATGTTGGCAACTGCGCAGACGTTAGAACCCCAGTGTACCAGGGGCCGGCCAGCCGCGAGGGTGCCCTTGGCCCCGCCCTCTCCCAAATTCTGCTGCACCACACCCAGCCCCCAAGCCCAGCTATATCCTGAAACTGCTCCGGCCTAGTTCTGGCTTCCCATGGACTGTGTGCAGCAAATGTGCTTCCCCAGCTCAGGGGCAACGCTGGGAAGGGCGTCACGACCACGCCAGGGACACTGGCCACTCCCGAGTGTGGCAACCAGCAGTCCCACCACCGTTTCTCACCCAGTGCCCTGCCAGGCTGAAGCCCCATCCCAGGAGCCCTGAGTTCAAACCCCTCCTTTGTAACTTCCGAGGAATTCATCTGAGCCTCAATTTCCATAAAATGGGGACAAAATTGGTGCCTTTGTCCTACACTTGCTAAGAATAAGCTTCCAGCTGTGTGCCGCCCAGGCCAAGCAGGTGGCTGCAGCTTGTGACATCTGAACAGGAAGGCAGGCTCTGTTTTTACCATAAAGAAACTGCAAGACAAATTGGAAGCCAAACTTAAAAAAAAAAAAAAAAACCACAACACATTTATTTCTGTAAACTGTTTGGTGCCAAGCTGATCTTCACACCCCATACAGTACAGTTTTCTTCCAAATGAAAGGAGCAAGGTACAAAGGAAAAGAGCCCTAGCGAGTGTGCTCACGGGGAACCAAGCCAGTCTCGTCTTTCTTCAGGCCCAGCAAAGCCCATCTTGGGGCGGGCAGGCGGGAGGCCAGGAGCCGGGAGGCCCATGCCCCGCAGTGCCTGCTTTCATCCCGTCCCTCTGGGAGCCCCTGAGGTCAGCCTGGAGATGCTCCCCCGTCACCCCAGCCTCAGCTGTCTCCTCACTCCCGGGAGCTGTCAGCCCCAAGGGTGGGGATGGGGGTTCCAGACCCCACGGCAAAGCTACTGCCAGGCACGTTTTAAGGCAAATGTTATCGCTTCTTAGTTGGTCCGAGCCAGACCTAGACTTCTCACCAGCGAGCAACACCGTCTCCATGCAGCTTTGGGCAGGGTGCGATGAGGGCCCAGAAGCGTTTCCAGGAGGCCTGCACCCACTGGTGGTCAGGGTGAATGCTCGGGAAGGCTACAGCAGCCTCCCGTGCAGCAGCAGCCTGGCAGGAAGCAAGAGGCCCAAGAAAACTAAGATAGCACAGGACAGGGGCCAGAAGCAACTGGAGGCCTCGGTGCTCAGACCAGGCGAGCTACGAGGAACACAGGAAGAAGACCGGGGACCGGGGCCACCCTGGGAGGCACCTGGGATTGACCATGTGCAGGACCTCAACAACAACATGATTTCCTCTAGGGAAAGAAATGGGGGGGGGGAGATAAAGAAAGACACCCCTTGAGCATTGAGAGATAGGACACAGTGGGGCCAGGGGGGACGCGGAGGGGCTCGGGGCTGCAGACCCAGCGGCAGGCGTGGCCTCCACTGCCTGTCCTCTCCCTGGTGGGCTGGTGGGCCATGGGTGTCAAGGCCAGCGGCCCCTCCTGGTGGGCGGCTGCAGGGCGGCAGGGGCTACTCTGTCTGGGCGTCGTAATTGGCGCCCCCCGCCTTCTTCAGCTCACTCTTGATGAAATCTTCCTCCAGCTCCTTCCGATCACTGATCACGAACTCTTTAGCGAAATTCTGCAGGAAAAGGAAAGCACAGAGGGTCAGGAGGAAGGGAGGGGGTGGCGCACCGCTCAGGCAGCGGGCTGGGCTTTCCACACCCAAGACATCCACGGAGAACAAAAGCAGCAGTGCAGTGCCCCTGCCAGAAAGTGGCCAGGCAGACCCCGGGGGCGGACACACAGGTGCCGTGTGGTCCATGGCAGGGCTCGACTGGGACGTGATGTGACTCCAGCTGCCACTGCCTGGCCAGGTGACTTTGGGCAAATCCCTCAGTTCCTCCTCTAGGAAAGCCTCGCTTGTCACAGCAGCAGGTCAGAGTCTGTCACCAGGCACCAGGCTTGAGAGGAAAGGGAAGAGATGGGAGGGAGGGGAGGAAGGGAAAGGGCCTGAGGGAGAGAGAAGAGAAGAGAAATGGTGGGTGCTCTGGCTTCAAGTGCGTGTCCCCACGTCCCAGGCATGGTTGGCTCCCACAGGCCACTTTGGCCACTGCCACCCACAGTGACACAGGGGCTTCTAGCCAGGTCTGAGCTCAGTCTCATGGGGCATAGTTACTTAAGCATGGGGACTTGGTTTGTATTAAGCATGGGGACTTGGTTTGTATTCGTTCAACAAATGGCAAGAAGGATGGGGTGTGTTTCAGTGCCCGTGGGCATGCAGGGTCCCCAGTGACCCAGGGCCACCCACCTGTCCACACAGCAACTGGCAGGCTCAAGGAGCCCTGCGATGAGCAGTCGCGCTGTACGTGGATCATGAGACTTCAATAAACAAGGGAAACTGCAGCTGCCAAATGTACAAAGGACCCTGCAGGTGAAAGAATGAGCCACCCAAGAGGGCATGGGAACTAACATGTCCAGCCGCGCCATGCTGGAGCACACGCAACTGTCCTGTGACCCACGAGACTCCGAGAGGTCCACCCAGAGGGTGACAGATCCAACCTCACAAGAGCTCTGCCAGCAGCCAAGGGCATACCCAAACACGGCCTGCCAGCACACCTGACATTCGGGGGGAGTGTGATATGACAGCCACCCCCGGCCTCGGCCCGGTCACACACGATGCCCATAAAAGGCAACTCTGCACCACAGCACACAGACCAGGGAGCACAGCCAGGAACAGGAAGCGACAGAAGTGTTCTCCAATTCTGCAACACAACCAGAACTCGCTGACTGGTACAAAAGGGAGAGCTGCCTCTACAGCCCCGAAACCAGATCTCGCCCACAGAGGCCTACACACGGCCGCCAGGATGAGCAACGCTAGCTGCACTTCAGGACAAGGGGCCAACACCCCTCCCTCCCCAGGGGCACACACTGAGGTCCCGCAAGAGCAAATCTGCCTGCCTACAGCCTCCCTCCTGGGGAGAAGACAGTATCATTTTTTTAAAAAATAGGACAGTTTCAATAATCAATACATTGTAATCTTCTTAGTGGTTATCCATAGTACAAGAAGCCGATAGGCTATTCTGTCCAAACACTATTAGTACACCTCTTTCTTCTCATTGAATTAAGCGAAAGTAGCTGTATATCTATCCTAACTATTTTGCATATATAAATACAAAATGATCTTTCCTTTGCATCCCCTTTTTTTTTGTTTAGTCCTGTCAGAGGTGGGTATTCTATTGGCATCTAAATACTAAGGTGTTTGAATTCAGCTACACAATCCAATGCTGCAAGACAGTATCTTGCGACTTGTACAACACTGAACGTCCCACGTGCCACAAACTAGGCCCTTTGAAACGGCCAGTGGGACACAAAAGCCCTCCACCTAACACCCAATGTAATCCCAGCACTTAGCAGGCTGAGGCAGGGGGGTCTCTGAGCTCAAGGCCTTCCTGGGCTACACAGCAGGACCCTGACTCAAAAAATTTTAATAAAAAAATGGATAATTTTATGGATAAGAAAATGTCACCCCAATTTTAAAAAGAAGACAAAAGTCTCTGGAGCACCAGGAGAGCCTTCAAGGTCAAGCTCTGCCACCTAAGCCACCAGCGGAGCAGGACTGGGGAAGCAGCATTCACGGAGCAGGCGGGCACCAGGCGCTGCGCACGTTCGGGAAGCCTCTCCTGTGCTTAGCTAAGATAAAGCCCTGGGGCTGAGCTGGGCCCCGCCAGAAGTGGGCGTCCTGGAGCCTTCTCGGGGCTGTGGGCTGAGTCGGAAAGCGGAACTGAGCAGCCGCCTGGGGAGCGGCGGCGCTGCCAGGCAGGAAGCGGCCTGCCCCTCTCAAGGAAGTCCAAAGTTCCCGGCAGCCCGCGATAGCCATATACGGCAAGGTGAAGAACCAGCACCCTAGAGGTCTTCCTCAATCAGCTATTAAGAAACCTAGTTTAAGAAGAAAGAAATTTAGGGCCAGGCATGGTGGTACATGCCAGTAACCTAGCCCCGTGGGAGGCTGAGGCAGGAGGACTGCAAATTTCAGCCCAGCCTGGACAACAGTAACAACTTAAAGAGCCCCTGTCTCAAAACAAAACAAAAAGGCTAGGGATGTAGCTCGGTGTGAAGGCCTAGCATTCAACCCCAAGCACAGCACAAAATAAAAAATACAGCAATAAATTTGATAAGGTTGAAGAAGCCTAAAGGGAAAGACAAACAATGCAAACCTCAAACCACAATGTGCAGGAAAGCAAACCTGAGCGACCTCAGGAGCAACACAGGGCAGCAGCATCCAGCTCAGTGAGGTTAGGGGGGCAGTGCCGTAGGTGGATGGAGTCTCCCCGAAAGGTTGTGGAACCACAGTCCATGCAGCCCCACCCCCAGGGCCACACAGCAGACACAAACCAAAAGAACCAAAAGACAAGCAAGAGAGAAGTTCCAGATTGCACTAAAAAGGACAAGAGGCAGCTGCATGGTCTCTGGGAGTGCTTGGGGAAACGGAGTCACCACCCTAAACAGGCTCACCACCTCTGGGTGCCCTCAGCCGGTGGCCGCTCCTTCCCAGCTCAGCAGACAGCAGAGGCAAAGGAAGGCACCTCGTGTTTTGAGCTGACTATAAAAAGGAACCTGGAAACTGGGTGTGGTGGTGCACGCCTGCGATTTCAACACCCAGGAGGCTGAGGCAGGAGGATCCTTGTGACTTCAAGAGCAGCCTGGGCTACAAAGTGAGCTCAAGGCCAGCCTGGGATATATAGCAAGACCCTGTCTCAAAAAGACAAAAAAAGAAGAAAGAAAGAAAAGAAAAGAAAAAAGTGCAGCAGCCAGGGTTCAATCCCTGGCATACCGTGCCAGCCCTACCCCCAGGGCACGCTGAGATGGTGATTGAGACGGCATGGTGGCACGCACCTGTAATCCCAGCGCTTGGGAGGCTGAAAACAGGAAAATCACTACAAGTCCAATCTGTGCAGTG